ATATAATCAGATACATTTTTATATTTACTATACAATAAATCACAATGCAGAATATAAAAAAAATATAAGAAAATGTGTATTATTAAAGTAAAAACACTATACTCAGCAAGTGGAGAAAGGATTTTTCCACCTATAGGTACACCCCCTTCATCCCTCTCAGGAATTACTAGTAAACCTTTTGTGCTTATGTTGCCTTACGTGAATGATATTAAAATTTATGCTGTATTCTAATAAGGAGTGATTTTCTTGGTAGCAGGGGCATGTAGTAGTCTTTATTTCATAAATGCAGTTGTTTAAACTAAGAACTTTTTTCCTAAATGCTCAGCTGCCATCCTTCCTCCCACTCTCTGGGAGAAACATCCCATTGTCCCGTTTGTTTAACATAGATGTCTCTGACAGATACAGTGAAAAGCTAGGAAAGCCTTTGCCATCAGTACTGAAGCCATTTCAGTGACCTGTGCCTGAAGATCTGGGAAAAGGCTGGGCTTAATTTTGCAAATTCCATGTGCAGCAAAAAACTGCAGAGCTGTTCCAGCTCTAAACAAAACTACAGGGAATAAATGCACCAGCCACATCCAGTGAGGGTTAAAAAAAGAGCCACATTTTCCACACTTCTAAATACTGAGAAAGTCATATTTAGTTGAGACTTCATTTTTCTGTAGGGAGTTTGTAGTTTTGCAGAGACACTGTGAAAACTGATCTGAGTAAGCAGCCTCATTGGCTAAGTTAGAAAATCCTGCATTAAATTTGGAGCCTAGTATAAAAATCCAGGTACCAATTCAGCAGGTTAGGGTTCAAGATATATTTAGATTTAGATATAATTCTGTAATTTTCAGAATGTGGCATTCCTCAGTCCTCTACACCAGTGGAGCACAAGGTGGAAGTATCTGTAAAAAGATGCAAGAGGTACCTAATTTGTTCCACTATTCTCAGTACAATGACATTGGTGATTAAATTATTCGATACAAGCATAAAATAATCTGTCATGGTTTAGGGTATGAGGACTCAGATCAGTAGTTGCTTTTTCATCCACCCTACATAAAATGGGAATAATAGAAACAAACTCCTAACTATTAATCTGACTCATTAGGTGTATTTAGGAGCCCTATTCCCATCAATTTCAATGTAGAACACAATTAAAAATGAATGTGAGATGCAAACTGTACAGAGTTTAAAGTGCTGTATTTATTAGTGTTATTGCTGAATTTAAGCATCATTTCAGAGAGTTAAGCACCTGAATTATGCCAAGGCAAATCTACTTTGCACTTGACTGTCAAACTGATTTGCAGCAAAGCCCCAGCCTGGGATTAAGATCAACATCCAGACATCTGGAACTGGTTGAGTGATAAAGAAAAATCCTGGCTGTAATATCAAGCAGCACAAATGGGCTAGAAGGTGCAGCATTACCCTTCAGCTGCCTCCAGGCTAATGGGAGAAAAATAATTTAATCCTGAATAAGGCAGGATGGTTGGGATGAAGACTGCCTACCCTGGATCAGAATTGCTGATTTAATTTGTAACACTAACTGAACCTTGCTGTCACATGGATCTGTACCTCCTAACTGGCTGAACATACAGATGGGGTTAACCTGATTGGATCTACATGAAGAAACAAGGCCATGAATTTTACAGACACTTCATGGTATAACAGCAGCCAGGTGCCAGCATCAAACATCTGTCCTTTTCCAGGATGAGAAGAAACAGAAGAGAAACAAGAGATCTTTGTTACCAAAAGCTGGTGGGAAATGTCACAGTGCCAGGGAATTACTAAAAATGAATGTTCCAAATAACCTGAAATTCAGAATTAATATCAGATTTCTCATTTCAGAGTGACTCATAGAAAAGCCTGTGAGGGTGATCAGCAGGTAATTATGTCAGAGCAGCTTTCCTTCTCATTCCCGTCTACAAAATCATTTCAATAACCTTGGTTGCCTCGGCTAAAAGATTCATTGTGCTGAAAAGTGTACATGGTTTCAATTATTAGTGAGATACTAGCATATTTGTATCTGTTTGTTAATTTTTTTTGGGAGGCACCCCAGCTTGATTTTGGGCCTACTGAAACCAAGCAAGCTTACTATTGACCTCCTATAGCTTTGGGTCAGAGCATCAAAAGCACTAAGAGGGCCCTGTGCTTATCACCTGCCCTCTATTATTTTAATTTAATTATTTTCATGTGTTATTTCCACTTGATATTGCTAAGAATTGCTAAGTCTCACAAACATGAAAGAAAGAATCACAGTTTATACTATAACAGGAAAAAAGTATGTTTACTATATTTAAGAGCACCCATTCTCGTGGATGTAGAGAGATTGCTTAATTTTATCACTACCACTTGGTAGGTATAATAACACAAATTGAACTTCAATCCACTGTAGGAAAAAAGTGTACATCTAGAATAATTTTTTTCCACTGTCAATTTTATTACAACACATTGTAATAAAAATGTGGGATGTTCCACATCCCACATTGCAACAGTTTTAACCATGCAGCTGCTGAGAGCTCAGGTGCAGATTTTCAGGCCTGCTTAGGTATCTACCTTGTACTATAAAATAATTTAGTCACTGTAATGGTAATGTTTTGTATGTCTAAATCTTAGGGACATAGGCACCAAGAGAAACTCATGATGTGAAGTTTAATGGATCTACTTCTTCACCGGATGCTCCATGATGGTTAGATCCCAGGAAGGAAATGTGCAAATGACAGAACATTGGTTAAAGATAGCAAAATGTAGCCAACAGGAAACACAAAGAGAGGAAAGCAGAAGTCCAAAAATTGTAAAATTAGAAATCAGAAGTGCTGTTCACAGGAGAACAGAAGTGAGAGGATTTGATTTTAGAAGTGCAGCTGGCACAAATGTATGCAAACATATCTCCCATAGCCTGTGCTGGGCCTCAAAAGGAGAGGGCTGCTAGCAGAGGAGTCAGAAGGACACCTGGGTCAGCTTTCCCCGTGAGAACAGACCATGTCTGTGGGGTTTGGGCAGCATCTCTTCACTGTGCCATCCTGCCCATCCTCTCACACTACAGATCCCAGCTACCTGAGCCTCACAAAATCATCTGGCCTGCCAAGACTGCTGAGATATAAACCAGCTAAAGCCCATGTGTACCTAAAAGTTGCACTTCTAGTTTAGTTGACCCACTTCAGTGGATATATTCGGTGGGGGAAATCTGGGACTGCATAGCTAGATAGACATTTATGCAAGATGCACTAATGTATTAGAGACAATTGCAAATTTAACATATTCACAGAAGATTTTATAAAATTCTGTGTCACTACCCTATTGTTCAGTTACTGTGAGTGTGACTATCTTTCTGTAAGATGTGACCTTAACGAAGACAGCAAGAAGAGTCAATCTAACATCTAATTCAATGCCACTCAGAAAACATTGAAACATTTTGTTTCCTACTAACATTTTCTTCAGTCCTGCAGCACAAGCAAAATGTCAAATGAATCATTTTTACACCCTTCCTTTGAAAAATCCACCACGATCATACTCAGATTTTTTAAAAACTGTATTTGTCTGAGAAAGCCATTCCAGAAAAAAAAAAAAGTCTCTAGTTTTCTTCACTATAAAGATATGCTTCAGAGAAATTTTGGCAGATAGACTTCATTTATTTTTTGAAAATAAATAGCCTGAATTAAGTTTAAATTGTTTTCTTTTAAAGAATGATAATTGTAAAGTTGATTAATTTCTTATTGGCTGTAGTTTTGTCACAGTCTAAATGGGATCTAAAATACTTCTTTCAGCAATGGAATCCTGTTAAAAAAATAATGGAGGTTCTACTCACTTGCCTTCAAGAGCTCTATTAACATAATGTTTGTTCAATGCAAAATTGCTTTTCTAACATAGTTATTACGGCAATAACTCACTGAGGATATATGAGGATAATAACCTATGTTTAAAGAAGGAAAAGCTGCTAAGAGGTGAAAATTCACAAAGGTCAAAACCTGATGGGATCTTTAAGGTTCTGAAATAAAAAGAAATAATAGGAGCAGGTGGGAGTTGGATTTTATGTTGCAAATGTTTGCCTGGATCAAACAGAAGAAAAAGCAGGGAGCTCAGCACAAGTCTCACTGATCCCTGTTTTTCCTATATCTATTTGTGTATTTTTTATCCAGCTACACATATTATAATACAAAGTCATATATAATACTCCTGCTTCTGGCACTACTTAATAATTTTATTTTAAATAGTCATGGCTTTAAAAAAACACAGTGAGACAATTTGTTTTGGACTAGAATATATGTATTCTTCTCTCAGTATATATGCTAATATACTAATACTTTTTCTTCTCAGCTCCTGACTGTTTAATTCCTCTTTATCTTGTAGAAGGCTCAAAGCATGAACACCTTTATCACATTGACCATGAAAGAGGAAAACATGAACTTGAATTCACTCAAATGGAAAAGAAACTAGGAATGTCCTTTCATCATTCATTTTCTGGGAGGATGGTCTATCCAATATGACTTCCAGTATGATATGGGTAGACTCTTCCTTTCTTTACAAAGGAGAAAAGTGACCTTATGCTGTTTTATTCAGAAACAGCAGTTTTCTGCTGCCCTGGTGGTACCTGTCAGCTGAGCAGAAACCAGGCTTCTAGACTGCTAAACAGCCTAATCTCAGAAAATACGATCAAGGGCCAGGCACATTCCTGAGATCTGTGCATTTTTGACTCAGCCTCCAATGGGCTCCATTCTCTCTCTTTGCTTTATGGGCATTAAATCTCAGGGCACAGCTGCAGGGTTTGGATTTTGTGTGGGACAATGGCACATTCAGCCCCCAGCTGCAGAGCCTGTGAAACTAAGCAGTACTTAGAGAAGATAACTACAAATCTGGGGAAGACAAAGTCTGCAGAGCTCCCTGGATGGTCCTCAACAACTTTAACTTCATCACAGCCCTGGTCACAGTGTCAGACAATGTCTCTGCCCTTATTTCCAGATCTTCATTTGATGTTTCTCCTCTCACAAGAAATCCTTGGTTCTCCAAGAAGAAGGAAGGTCTTAAAGGAAGATCTTAAAATTTAGGTGTAGATATGTTGAGGCTCTCCAGGTCCTTTGCACACATGATATATTGTCCTGACAAGGATGCCTCCTTCATACCTCAGCTACTGCTGTGACATTGATAATGCAGGGCTCAAGTTCAGAATCAATGAATTTTTGCACTTCTCTGCAGTTGCTCTGGAAATGGTAGAAATTTTAGCTAATATGAGACTACCTACTTAATTTTTTTCCTTTTGCATTCTAAAATATATGCAATATGTAAGGAGCCTGCATTAATTAATTCATCCAGATAACATAAATTTCACTAATTTAAAGGATTATTCTGAATGTTTATACAGAAAATATAATCCTATTGAGGAGCAAATTACTTCAGCAACTTGCATTCTCCAGGGAACACCAATGTGTAGATCTTTCAAGAAGCCATGATATATACTAGAAAAGCAGGTGATGTCAGCGTGGCTGTGTGGCAAAACTGTGCATATCTGGAGCTGATGCAGACGCTCCAGAAGGTTGCCTTTGTCACTTGACTAGGGTGGAAGGAAATTCACTCTCCTATTCATATTGATTCTGACAGAGACCACAGCCAAATGTTTAAAAAAATTGGCTGAAGTAATTGAATTTGCTGAGGGCAACCGAACACTTATTTTCAGCCATTCATTCTCATGCTGACTGGGTTTTCTATACTATCTGCCAGGAGAAAAACAGCCCAGAACATCCATTTCACATAGCTTTGAGGGAAAAGTATTTTTTTACGACAAAGCTTGATATGTGGCTTTCTGAAAACTCCAGAACATGTCAGAGTCTCAAAAATCAATCTTTGATTTTATGTGGCTAGGTCTGATATGTAGTACAAAACCTCTCCATCTGATCTTAACAGCCTGCTTTATTTTTCTTGCCCACAGACAAGGACAGTTCTCATAACCTAACAAATTGCACCACCACTAGACCTTGTCTGGTGTGCTAATCATGCTCTAGATAATGTCCTAGTGTTTTATCCAGCTGGAAGGGGCTTTGACGAGGATGATAACTACTGAGGAACAGTCTTCCAAAATACCTGGTATTAGCCATTGGCTTCCTACTACTGGTTGCCTATGAGCCTCACAAGAGGCTTGTTAGGCCAGGAAGAGCTGACCACATTCCATGTTGTCCTGACTGGAGATCAGCAAATGCTGGTTAACTGCTCAGCTCTGCTGGTGCCAAGTACTCAGGACTCGTGCAGTCAGATACTCCCTGTTAACAGGGTAAAATGAGCATCTTACACAATGCATTTATGTCAGGCTAAGGTTTACCTCTAAAGAAGTTAAATTCATATCTCACCAAATAACGCCTGTAGCTCCCAGGGCATTCTCTCCAACAGTGTTAAAAATATCTTGCTACAGTGAAAAGAGTAAAGATATCATTGTCAGGTTAATTCAGCATCTCACAGCCTTTTTAAAGTAACCCAGTAGTATGTTATGAGGCTGTCTCCCAGGCTAAGGCTTCATTTTGGTCCCTATGAGCTATATTTTATTCTGGCTAAAGGTTTGCTGTCTAGACTACAATGAGTATTAAACTGAAGTTGGAAACTCAGGTAATACCTGAGATGTTGGTAATAAGGAAGTGAAAAAATTGGGAGGGGGAAAAAGGCGTTTTAATCCACTTTGATGCAAAAAATTATTGACAGTTATTTGACAACTCATCAATTACTAGAAGCAACTTAAATCATTTCATTGATGTGAGATTTTTTGTACAAAAATTTCCCAAAACATTTTCTCAGTTCTTTTTGTCTATAAGGGGAAGGAGAGAGCCATTTTGCCATTTCAGTCAGTTGTTTTCCAGTCCCTCTCCAATTTGAAAGCTGTGATTTCAAAGGCATGCATTTTTCTTGCTGTTTTCTCTAGGAGCTCACTCAAATTCTTATAAAAACCTAGAAAAAGCAACTGTAAATAGGCCCACACTATAGGAGGGAAATATCAGCATTGTGCTACCTTAAATAAAAGAGAAAATGCAACACTTGGCAAATTTTAGGAATTTGAGTTACAATATTCTTTCAAGTTTGCATTCTTTCTCATTTGGTTGCTAGGATATGTCTTGCACTGTCCTGCTCATAGAGCAGGCTGTAAGGAGAAGGCATTTCATGCTTGGATATTTATCCTTAATTTGAAACATGACTAAGGATCAGCAAGTTAATTACTATTCCATAAGCACAGAATTTGAAAGACCATTGATAAGCAAGTGAGTACCTAGACAACATCACTGATTTATAGAAGTTTGAGGGCCAAAGTACATCAAGAAATGACTTGATGTGAATGTTGCCTGAAGGAAAAAAGAAGCAGGAACTGGACATAAAATGGCAAAGAGGGTGCAGCAGTTATTGATGTGTCTATCCTCTCCTTGCAAAGCTAAGGAAGGGTAAAACCACCAAGGCAGGTGTCTCCATCTCCTTTAATGTCTTCAAGACCAAGAGAAGTGAAGCCCCTTGCTGGGAAGTGCAGTGGGTGAGTAATGGCAGTGATACAGGAATAGTGAGGTCTAATAGAAGAGGGAGCTAATGCTTCTTCTCAGACAGGGTGCCAACTTCAGATTCAGTACCTGGGATGAAAATTCAAACATAGCCTTCAAAAGTAAATACAACTCATGTGCTAAATTCTGAAACAGAGCAACTGGGTTCTGCTGGTAGTGCAGTCACTCTCTACAGGTGAAAACAGAACCAGAGCAGTGACAGACAAATCATGCTGCTTTTTCACAGGAATTCTACTGCCCTCATCCAGGTTCTGGGAGGATGTCCAGAATCACATTAGAAAAGGATAATGGTCTTATCTCAAAAATACTGTAATGTGTACAGTTCAGCTGATGTGAGCAGTACTCCTCTGTTCTGGGGCCCGGACCAACATAGGTATTATGGGACTTAATTATATGGTTTTGAGGTGAAGGCATGCAGAAAGACTGTTGGTTCCAATTTTCCATTCTTATGTACACAGAACAAGTTGCTAACATCTCTGTCTCAGTTTCCCTTCTAAAAAAAAGGCAGGTGTCTGGGGATTAGTGATTGCATAGCTGAACAGAAGTACATGAGGGAGGATTAATGTATTAACAGCTCCTAAGTACGACATCAAATTTCTGAACTCCTTTTAATCCATTCAAATGATTGAGTACAGCCTTGCTTGAGTACAGCCTAGTTAGGAATTAAAGCAAAAAAAAAAAAAAAAAAAAAAAAAAGATATTCAAGGCTGTGTTTTTTCTTCAGAACATCGCGCTCTTTAAAGCATGTGGATAATTAGCATGAACCAGCAGAGCTGGCCCAAGTAGGAGGTTTTCCATCCTGATGCACCATCTGCAAGAATGGTTAAAGGACAAATGCAGCCTACATTGTTCCAGCAAAAACTTCCAAAAGAGAGAACTAATACAGGCTCCTCTCGACAGCCTAGTCAGGTATACACAAATACAGGCAAAGCATAGTCTTGGGATGCCATGGAGGAAATTCCTATGGATTCATTCAGCCTAAATTGAGAGAAGTACAAAATGGTTTTGACTGTTTCCAAGGGGTCTCTATATGTCAGTAGAAAGATACAAGGCTGCAAAGCTATCTCAGAGACAGAAAAATTCACTGTTCCTCAAAACTTCACTCTTTGGGCAAGAACCAGTGTAATTCTAATAATGGAAACTGTAATTATGACAGTCAGGGTATAAGTAGCATTCCCACAGGCCCTTTGGTTTGCTTTCCATTCCTAAAGCAATTGTTTTCTTCATGAAAGGTTTCGCACTTTCTTCAAAGGAAACGTATAACATTCAACATCATTTGCTGAAATATCCCCTTCCATTTCAGTTATGAGTTTCCTGGACTTTCCTCTGTAGATGTCTTTTGCACCACACACAGTTGCAGGCCCACTGAGGTCTCCAGTGTGCACAATCTGTGACAGCTACCCCAGTGAAGACCTCAGCTGGGATCTAATAGTTAATGCCATGCCTTTTTTTTTTCCTGAATGGGTTTGAAAACTGAAGTTTTAAGGTACACCACCATTAATATGGACTTCCTGTGATGTGCCTGCTTTCTTGTTTTAGCTAGGGGACTTCAAACCATGTAGAGCATTTTCAGGTTCAGTACATTGTACCTCAGGAAGCACAGTTCTGTCAGGCATTCCAGGAGTCTTGAAAGACTTTCTCTCTCAAACTGGTGGTCAGGCTGATTTCAAATCAAGAGAAGTCCAGATGAGTGGTATGTGCAGCCATGCCAGGGGCTGAAAGGTGACCAATGCATTTAGTGTTCCATTTCCAGGAAGTACTTTCCCAACTTAAGAGATGACATTGAGGAGATCTCCCAGTTTTGTCTCTAGAACATAAAAAAAGAGCTATTAGTATTTATTCCATATATAAATATATTAATTGATATCAGTCAATTCTAAGGCACCTACCATGCTAACACTGAAAAAACAAGGTGAGCACAATCTAACCCAAAAAAACGGGGGAAATTCCCAGCCAGAGTAAATTGGTCTAAGTCTAGAAGCCATCCTACTGCAGTTATTTTCTCATCAATCCACCAAGGGTGTTGCTATCACTTCAGTGGACCCCAGGGTATCTTAGTGGCCGTTGCAGTGGAAAGCCTGATGAAGACATGGCTTCCTCATCATTCATGCTTTCTCAGCAACAACCAGAGTAACTCTGAAATCAAACCTTGGCTTTATCACTGTCTTCACAATTTCATGAGCATCCCCAGCCTGTCTACACAATGCCAGCCAGAGATAACCCAAATAGCTTTAAACAAGCACACATATTTCATTGTCATTGTGCAGTACCATAAAGGGATCCAAGTTCAAACCCTTGATAGCAATAAAGAAGATACAAGAACACTTGTCCTGAGCTATTTATTAGCCTGCCTACACTATCACATGTAGCTAGTGCCTTCCAGACCATGCCTGATATCTCTGCACAGCACTGCAGTGTACAATGTGGACTTTGTAGCTAAGGTCTGTGCCACTACTATGGGCAACATCATTAATCACAAGGTCCCACTATATTTATATGTAAGAGAGAGAGAGTGGTATCATTTGCCAGCTTCAAGATCTCCCCTGCATTCAAAACCCTGGGAAAATCCCACAGACCTGTAAAATCAACCATCATGGATTTGTATTTGAGTTCTATTGTTGTTCTTCTTTCTTAGTCCTAGCCTACTTTTTTATTTCTCCTGGGATTGTGACCTACTGGAGGCGAGGAACGTGGGTGTCATATGGGCAGCCAGGCTGTTACATAGATGCTGCTGGGGATAGTGTAGCTATGCTATCCTTCCTTTCTATCAAAACAGAAAAACAGTGAGGAGTATCTATGCACCTGAAGTACATTTATGGGCCTCCCCAGTCCTCCATTTTTCTGTTATTTTAGGGTAAGCCTAGCATAACTTAATTTCATCAAAATCATCATCATCCAAGGTAACCAACCTAGGTATTTTTAATAAGCCTTTGGTGCTTTTAAGATATAATCTTCTGACAGTCTGAGGCACCAGATTGTTTTGCAGCACACAAGGTGTGCCTGTTCCTCCTGCTGACCAAGCAGGCCATACACAGGACCAATGCAAAATGGAGCAGATGCTGCAGAACTCAACATTTTGTCAGACAATCTTACCCCATGAGACTCACAGTACACAGCAAACCCAGGTTTTCAAACTCAATACCCACATTTCCACAGGTGCCATGGCAGCATTACTGAGCCTTTTAGAAAACGGTGTTAAAGAAAATTAGCCTGATTGTCCCTCAGAAAGCATGTGCTAGTACTCACACTTGGGAAAGCCACTCAGGGCTTGTCAGCATTAGGGAGGCCAAACTGAATTTCTCACCACAAGGCTGCACAGCCAAAACTGGAAGATTATGAGTTTGCTCTTTTGAGGAGACACCCAACAAAAGGACCACCTTTAGAAAATCAGGCTGCCCCATAGCTGCAGAGAGATGGAGAAAAGGGACAGTGACCACCTGCCAGCCCAGCAGCCCTGCTCCTTACACCAGCCCATGCTTGGGATTATCATGCATTTCTGGCTTTCCAGGAGGGTTCCATGGAGGCTGCAGCACTGCTGATGAGCAGCTTTGGCAACAAAAAAGAAAAACAAAAAACAGATGGAAAATGCAGACCTTGCTGTGCTGGGGCACTATTGCTGAGCACTGCACAGAAAATCTGAGCTGTAAAAAAATTCTGCCAGAGGGCAGCAAATCCCTACAATTGCTTGTTTTCTACATTGTGATTCTAAACTGCAGCGAGTTTCCCTGCAATACCATCCTCTGCTTCCCCGTTTGTAACAGACTGGGCTAGGGAGGTGCCACCAGCTGTGCTGAGCACATCCCCAGGTGAGTGACATGCGGTTCCAGGGAGCACCTCTGTCACTTGGCACAAGCGCGCCAGTGGTGTGCGCTGGCAGGCACCCATGCCCCAGGCCACCTCATGGCATCTCACCAAAATCTATGAGGCTCACCAGAGGTTGCATTTCCTGGGCTCTGCCTACCAGTGGGAAGCAGGGAGGCTCAGCTCTCCCACACTGTGGGTCCACACATCTCCCCTCAGGCAGGACTGGGGTGAAATTAGCCCTATGCTTTACTTCCTGCTGAATATACTGATATGCAACTCCAAAGTCCTCTGAGCTGGCACATGGCAAAGTATCAGCACGCTGAATAAAATAATAATAATAAAAATAACAGCAGCAGCAACAACATAACAACCACAATATCATTATAGGTTATTGAAGACTGCAAAGTGGCAGACCACCTTGACCCCTGAGGGAAACCTTTTCTGGGTAGCTTAGCACAGAAAGATATTTGCAGGAGCTCTATTGTTAAGGAGGAAATGGTTGCTCTTTTTAATTCAGTGTCATGGCAAATCTTTGACTTCTAACTTCCAAATTTATTCCATTTGATACACTTAGCCACAACACCCACACATGCACCATCTAAGAATAGTCTTGTTTGCAACATGCAGAAAGGATGTGCCCAAGCTCTGCTCAGTACTTTTTCCCTTTCCCTAGTCTTTTCAAAGTTGCATCCGGTTGTGCAGGATTGCTAAAAATGATCCTTCTCTTTTACTTGGTATTTCTTTCACTTGTATCTATCATAGTGGGTATACCCATCCTGCTAACTAGATTCTCCTTTGGCAAAGGGAGCACAGAGGCAGCCCATCTTGTCATCCAGCTGACAGTGAAAATGAAGAATGGACAGCAATTTCCAATGCAGAAAAAGTAGAAAATGTGTGTCTTTACTAAGTAACAAACAGCTCTAGCTAAGACTAAGCAAAATCAGCTTTAAAAAGGCAGTTTTGAAATGAAGACACATAGAGAGAAGTACTTGAACCAAAACAAAAGATACTGCTGAAAAAATATAGCTGGCAAAATGATAAGAAAATTACTAAGCATTCAGCAGTTGATATAAACCCTGTATCTCTCTCCCTAAATTAATCTAGAACATAAGAATTCATTTTCAAGCTTTTTCATCTATCTTGTAGCAGAAAACCCACTCCAGTGATGTTACACTATTCATATCCAGAGATTAGAAAAATTAAGAATAAAGACGATGATATGTTCTCCTTTCTACAACAATATGGCATTGAAACAGCACAACCTTGATGGGCTTAAACCAGGCTGTCTCAACAGGCAAGCCACTTGCCAAATACTCTTATCAAAGACAGGAATGTTTTTTGAAAGAAGAATTTTCACACCCATAGAGATCCAATAAAATCCCTGGACTTTTACAAAATAATCCTTTTGTTGACTTTTTATCAGCAAGCTAATGCTGATACACTCAAAAGTCTGATGATGGAATGAGTTTTTTTCTGTGGAAGTCATGCTGTCAGCAGTGAATTTTGCTGTTGGTGCTGGACCCAGATTTGATGGCAATGTGCCTGGGGGGTGGTGGCAAAGGAAATGGCCTCAAGAGCCACCAAGCCTGCAGCAGCTTCAGGCAGGGGGCATGGCAGGATGCATTGCTGCTGTCTCTACCTTTCCTCCTATGGATGGGGGCTTATTAGAGCATTTGCCTCACTGATATTCTGCAGAGTATCTCTGTCATGTTAGTAAATGCAGGGGATGGAATATGCAGCAAAATGGATAATGAAAATTGAGAAAATAAGAAGAAGAAGAAGAATGGACCTCATCACACAATTATCTGCCTGAGCCTGTGACACTGGTGGCTGATTATAGCCAAGACTCAAACTCTTTTAGTACAGTCCTTCACTGATCCTAATGAAGCTGCTAGAAAACCTGAGCAGCATTAACTGCGGAGGGGCATTTCAAAATTAGGGTATGGCCTCCTCAAAATGCTATAAATTAAAGTATGAATCTGATACAATAGAGCTATTTCCCTAGCATTGTAAGGAACGGGTTGAAAAATTAATCAAAAATTAAAATGCTGAATTATTGGAAGGCAAATTTGTAGATAGAGAGATCACATTTTAGCAGACAAGCTACAACTGTGTATTGGGCTCATCAGGACAATCATTTGGCCTCTATCATCTCAGCTCCTTTTGCTACTATAGTGATTTTTTATTATTATTTACATGAGAATACATGCATTCTGGTGGCCTCATGGATAGCTGGTCTTCTGAATCTAAAAATGTCCCCCAGTTCTTGCTGCATAAACGTCTCTCATCTACAGACAATTACACCTGACAATGGTCCAGCCTGGGAGATTAGACTCATGCTTAGTCCTAGCAAAAGGCAGATGGTTTGATGGATTGATTTAATGGCCCACTGAAACATAGAAGCAGTCCTTCTGCTTAGCTTGTACTTTCCTCATGCTCTTGATGCCAGTGACTGGGTCATTTTCTGGCATATACTGAAATACCCACAAAGCCTCTTTGGCCCATGCCCAGCCTTACAGGATTCTCAGTGGTCAACACCACAATTTTACACCTGTCAAGCCCAAAGGTTTTCCAGAACCTGCCTTTTTCAAAGATGGTAGCCTTTACACTTGGGGCTATATTTTGCATGCTTACACTATAGAGTCAGCACAGTGGCCTGAGTTCTAAAACAGCCTGAGTGGGCTGCATTGCTACTCAATTGTCCTCAGGAGGTATAGCATATTAAAAATTGTATGGATTATAGCATGTGCACAGCAAGAAGTTTCACATTCTTTGAGGGTATATCAGCCTCAAGACATAAGAACTGTGCTCAGGAGCGGGCTTCAGCTGGCTGCCAGGATGCCCAGGTTTCCTGCCACACTGCTCATTTACCTGTAGTTCAAAATACTCACACTGCAAAGAGTGGGAGATGGGGCATGTGCTCAGAGGACCACAGTGCAGCATAGCCAGCCACCTGACTCCAGGCTGCATTAGGAAAAATGTAAAAGACCATTTAAAAGCGTCAGAACTGCTTGGGCTTTCCCTCTGCCTCTCTTACAGCATTTTTAATGGTGCTGAATTGGTTCTTTTGAGAAGCAGCTTTCCTCTGCCCACTTTCCTGATGCAATTGTAAGGAAAATCCTAAATGAAAACTAAACCAGTGCTGCTTAATGTTTCAGGCATGTTGTTCTCATAGAAATTAAACAGAAGGTTAATTTCTGTGCAACAGAAAGGAGCTGACTCTCCTCCCACCACCCTTCCTGGGTCCAGCAGAGTTACTGTGCATTTGAAGCAGGGTAAAATCAGCCCCCAAACTGAGTAGAACAAGCACCCACACGCACAGTGGAGTGATTATAGCTTGCACCCAGCACCAGCAGATATGGATGACATTCCTCTCTTCCTACTCCCTCAGAATAGCTGTAACACAACAACAATAACAACAAAAAGTTTGATTTTTTTCATCCCCACCAGCTGAGCATCAGATTAGAGCAAAATGTTAGTGTCGCAGAAAATGCAAAAATTCAGTGTTGTCAGTCTAAGGGATTAATTGCAATTATTTTAAGACAGGGTTTGTGTCAATCTGGGTAGACCTCAGGTATGGATGGAGACTTTGAACAAACTTAATGAGCCTCTCTCAGTGGCCTTGTCCCTGTAGTGCCTTTTCATCTAGCTCTCATCAGCTGTCACAGGACCTGCTGCCTCACTGCAAGGAGCACAGAGGGGATATTTCGAAGAACTGCTACTTGCAGTCCCTATAGCAGCTGGTGAGTGCTGGGAACTAATGGACTAACACCTGTCTAAAAGGGAAATTCCAAGGGTGAGCAAAGCAAACACGAATATTTCATGCCTGCTTTTCAGCTACTCCAAGTCTATGAGGATAAACCATCTTACAGCAGATGAGGCTATGCCCCTTTAAGAGTGGAGAAAACAAAACAAAATTAAAATAGAAGGTTGTTTTCTGGTGAGGTTAATGTGAAAAGTGAAGTAGCTCTACCACTCAAATTAGCATCTTCAGTGAAATCAGGTTGGCTTATTATTGGTTTTTAATCCAAGTATGCTCTGACCTGTGAGTGGCTGCTGAGATATGAATACAATAGTGGTGCTTGCACATCATTACCCCTTCTAAATTGAAGTGTATTGGTACCTGAATTCCTATGGAGGCCCAGGGAGAATTTGTCTCATTCCTCCCTAATTCTAGATTTAGAAAAAATGCCTAAATTCCACACTATGGAGTTTGATGCTGACACTTAAGAAAAGAATACTTGTCCAAGGAGCAGTCCAAAGCTTCCAAAGGATTTCAGTTCATGCTTGTATTAATTAATCCCATGCAAAGAGCATCATTGTCAATTGTAGGTACTCGAGGTCTCTGGGATCTTTGAG